ACACCCCTGTAGAAATCAGTGGTTCTGAAGTGGGCAAGCACTTCTCATCTTCCACAGTGAAGACAGAAGCAAAAAATGCATTCAGCTTCTCAGCCATTTCCCTATCATCCTTCACTACTCCTTTTACCCCTTGGTCATCCAAGGGCCCCACTGCCTCCCTGGCTCGGTTCCTGCTTCTAATGTATTTGAAAAAAGTTTTATTGTTGGTCTTTACATGTTTTGCTATATGCTCCTCATATTCCCTTTTTGCCTGCCTGATCACAGACTTGCATTTATTTGCCACAGCCTGTGTTCCCTTTTATCAGCCTCACTGAGACTAGCTTTCCACCGCTTAAAGGAATCCTTTTTACCTTTTACAGATTCCATTACTTTGTTTGTTAACCATGCAGGCTTTTTTCTGTACCTATTTGTGCCTTTCCTAACCCATGGTATATATTTTTTCTGAGCTTCTAGGATTGTAGTTTTAAATAGTTTCCAAGCTTTCCCAATGGTTTTGACCCTTTCTACTTTTCCTTTCAGTTTCTTCCTCACATGACCCTTCATATAAGAGAAGTTACCCCTTTTAAAGTTAAAAGTGGTTGTGTCAGTCTTTTTGGCCAATTCCCTATTTATACAAATGTTGAACTCAACAACATTATGGTCACTGTTCCCAAGTGGTGCAATCACTTTTACATCTCTCACCAGGTCTTGGGCGTTACTTAGAACCAAATCCAGCATCGCCTCTCCCCTGGTAGGTTCTGTGACCATCTGCTCCATAGCACAGTCATTGAGAGTGTCTAGAAACTCAATCTCTTTTTCCCGACTAGAACACATATTGACCCAATCAATGTGTGGGTAGTTAAAATCACCTATTATGACACGGTTTGTTTGTCTAGCCGCTATCTTTAATTCATTCATCATTTTATAATCCTCCTCTATCTTTTGATCTGGTGGCCGATAACAAACTCCCAGTGTTGTTTCCTTTTGGGTCCACTATTTCAACCCACAGCATTTCCAGAAATGAATCGAATTCTCTTACCCTCTGAATCTTACTGGGCTGTATACCCTCTCAGACATACAGAGTCATCCCACCTCCAACCCCCCCCCCCATCCTTCCGATATAATATATAACCGGGAATCACCATATCCCACTGATTTTCCTCATCCCACCAAGTTTCTGAAATACCCAAAATGTCTATTTCACCCCCCAACACCAAGCACTCCAACTCCCCGATTTTACCTCGGACACTTCTAGCATTTGTATAGAAACACCTATAATTTCCCATACATGTTAAGCCTGCAACCTTCCTTTTGCTCTCTCGAGACCTTGTCAGGCAGTCCATATCACTAGCAATAGTCTCAGTGGACAATTCCAATGCAACTCCCTGTAGAAAAGCAACAGCTAACCCCTCATCTCTCCGAGATGAGCTATCCCGAACCAGAGTCTTTTCATCTCCTATTGGCTTTCCCCCAATATTCAGTTTAAAAACTGCTCTGCCACATTTTTTATTTTAAGCGCCAGCAGCCTGGTTCCTTCTCAGGACAAGTGGACACCATCTCTTTTGTACAGCTTCCTCTTGTTCCCTCTTGTGGGGAAGGTCTGCACTGGATCCCAGCTGTCATTCTCCGTTCTATGGGGCTGACCTCGTACAAGGTGCGGGACAATGCAGGGCAGGGCAAGTCCGCTGCTGCCACCTGGCCCAACTCAGACATCGCTGGCCGGCTAGGGAATGAGATATTGCAACGCACCCTAGTTCCTGTTCCCTGTCCGGGAGTTCTCCCATTGGAGAGCAGTGTCGGTGCTCGGGAGATACATCCTTCTGAGGACCTGCGGCTGTCACCTCCAGTCCAGGAGACTGACGGTCAACATAGGGAACCATTTCCCATCAGAACAGCTGTGCCCATTCAGTTGCCCTCGCCTACTGTGCCTGCTCTTCGCGGGGAACTGTCTCCTGCTCGGGGCGCTGTGGCGTGCAGTCCACCGGTCGAGTCGGCCCCTTGCCAAACAAACTTGGAACCTGTTCAGGACTTTGCCGGAGCTGATGGGCCCCGGACATCATGGACTCTGGCCATTTCCAGGGCACCCAACATGGCGGGCATTCTCCAGAATGTATGCCGCTACCGCAATGGTCTGCCCAAACGAGAGGTGCTCCTACCTACCTTAGGGACTATCTTATTTAAACCAAGTGGGGAGGAGTGTTATGTTCTGAGTTATTTCTAAGCTGTTTAGTTATGGTTTGTGCTAAGGTATCCTAGATTCCTCTGTTGTGATTGGCTGTGTAATAAAGACCTAGTGGTCCTAAAGCCATACAGAGTATCCTATCAGAAAGCTCAGCTTAGGTCCAATCAGACCTCATGAAAGTAGTTACATCGTATATAGTTCAGTTTGGAACAGTATAAGTTTGGATGCTGCTCTTTGCAGAGTCAGATTAGAGCTGAGTAATGTTCTGAATAAAAGCCTTGTATTGATAATTGTCTCCTGCCTTTCAATACTTAAAACATAGCATCTTGCAGGACATCGCCTACTGATTCCAGCCAAGTATAAATTGGGATCCGAAACTAATTTTGGGGTGTGGCGTACTCAAATTCTTATTCTTCAGCTACTTAGCAAAGCAAAGCTATGAGATTCCTAAGTGAACTCTGCTTTGATGCACTTTGAGCAAAAGTTATGCCTGGGACTAGGTACCACGCTTTGCTACATTGTCTGGGCACTGTCTCCTGTGGAATAGAAGGTCCAAGGATTATTTTGGGGTGTAACAGTTTCTTAATTGTTTGCCAATTTATGGTCTTGTCCAACAGGATTCCTAGGGGCTTGTCACTTGTATGATAAGGTGACCAGGTTCGCAGAACTGTTTCCCGATTCCTGTAATATACAAGGTAAGGTGGTCTAAAACTTGTTGGAGTGCACTGCAGATATGCTTAAGTATGGTAAACATTGGACTGAAGGATAAGGAACTAGGAACTGCAAATATGGAACTGGGAACCGATTTGTGCCCAGTGCGTTCTGAGTCGTTTTAGTATGTTTCCATCCTGTCAGCTGTCCAATCTGAGGAAGATCTGATCCCAAGAATGGGAGGTGGGAGCGGATAGGTTTTCCCATTACATACATGTATGGCACGGGACCTTTGAACATTAGCGCTGTGCGCTGAGATGCAACTAGGGAGTTGAACGATGTGGAGGAAAGCGGCCCCAAGCCCTCACTCTCCGGGGAAATGAAGATGCCTTTTAGCCCGCCCACAGTGCTCGGCTGTGTGGAGAAGCGATGTCGAAAGCGCCCGAAGCGTCAGGTACGCCCCTCAGGCAGGAGCGATCCATAAGCGGCTGGCCTCAGCAGCAGGACACGGCGCCGTTGCACGCAATGTCCCTCAGGGCTCCCTCGGTGGCTTCAACCCCCCAGGAAACAGCCTCCCTTCCCTCCGCCTGTGGAAACGAGGGGCTCCGCCCTACCCTCACACCCCCCCACGCCCTAGACCGACTCTTATTCCCCGCCCGCCCCGAGGCGAGGCCACAGTAGCCCGGGGCGAGGGGGCGCCAAGATGGGCGCCAAGTCGCCGTCGGGGTTCTACGTGGGCAGGAAGCCCGCCGTGCTGCTGGGGCTGCTGCTGGCCGCCCTGCTCGTGGCGCTGCTGGTGCTGGCCGTCCTCTACCGACGCAGCCTGCAGGAGCTGGCCGACGAAAGGCTGCGGAAGACTGACGCCGCCGCCGCCACCCCGCCGCTTTGGCGCCCGTGCACTACTCGCTGCTGCTGTGGCCCCACCTGGCGCCGGGCCTGCCCGAGCCGCGCACCTTCTCCGGCCGGGTGAACATCACCGTGCGCTGCCGCCAGGAGACCGCCACCGTCCTCTTGCACAGCCACCAGCTGACCTTCCGCGGCGCCGCCGTCTGGGGGCCCCTGGACGGGCCCCGCAGCGGCCCCAACGCCAGCCGCCTCCCCCTGGCCGAGCTGTGGCTGGCCGAGCGCCACCAGTTCGCGGTGCTGGAGTTGCGCGGGAAGCTGCGCCCTGGCGCCCTCTATGAGCTGCGCCTCGCCTTCGACGGCCTCCTGAACGTCGACGGCGGCTTCCGCGGGCTTTTCAGCAGCGCCTACGAAGACCAAGGCGAGCGAAGGTAAGGGCGCGCCAGGAGGACGCCGCTCCCTGCCCCGACGTGCGCGTCCCCCTTCTCCGGGAAGAAAAGCTCCGGGGAGAGCGGTCCTCCGGCTGCCTGACAGGCAGAACCGAAGTACCCCACACCCTTCGGTCTTTGCTGCGGGCCTTTTAGTGCCTTGGGGAGGAGAAGCAGATACGCTGACAGCTCTACTGGGGGTCTCTGAGAAATTGCTCTGAAAAATTATCTCGGAGGAATGACTGTGAATTACTTTTAATTACATAACAACCTAAGGTGTTTTCAAGCGCACATGTGGGCACTGGATAGTCAGGAGGACATGGTCCAAATAATTTCTTAGGATTCCTCTCTCTGTGTTCATGGCAGAGCGACCACCTTCTGTCAGACTACAGGATGAGCTGACAATTAAGGTGGTGTAGTAAAACGAATGCCCATTAGAAACAATGTAAGATACTGGAATGCCCATTGACTATAATGGGATCCACGAATGCCATGTGTTCTGTACATTACATCATGCAAAAGTTGCAATGAAAATGTGGAAATTACATATAGAAAATTACCCTGGACCTGGAATATAATCCCTATTGTGGAATAATAGTCCCTGGGCCCAGATATACTGCTGTGGAATTTTGAAATAGACTTCACCCACCGTAACATAGGTAGCGGGTGAGAAGGATGTTGCCAGGAAGGGCCAATTAGAGTGAAGATTGGATTGAGGCAATTGGTAAGACTGAATAGGAACAGCGTAATAAAAGTTTGCAAACGGATGAGAGAAGTGAATGACAGTAGCATATGTAGTGAGATAAGAAACCAATATCTCTTTTTAGTCCTGAGGGTTCCATTGTCCTATCCATTGTAATACTTGTAACTCAGCAAACTCCTGTTCTAGTCTGTTTCTGAAATTCTTTTGCAATGAAACAGCTACTATGAGGTCCCTCATTAAGTGTCTTGGAAAGTTGAAGTTTTCTCCTACAGGTTTCTCAGTTTTGTGATTCTTGTTATCAGAATGGTACTCAGAGAAAACCTGTTGCAAGGCAGGCCCAAAAGAGACAATAACAGAACACCACTAGTGTCACATACAGCTCTCAACTCAAAACAGTTCAACACATCATCAGTGATTTACAACCTCTACTAGATAATGACAGTTCTCTTTCACGAGTACCGGGGGCAAATCTTTTCTTCCTCACAGACAGCCCTCCAATCTTAAACCTCACCCACAGTAATACAGTGTCTAATTTGAACATGGACACTGGTGCCAGACCTTGCAATAAACCCAGATGCCAACTTTGCTGCCACATACACCCAGACAACGCAATCACTGGACCTAATAACATTAACAACACCATCTCAGGCTCATTCACTTGTTCATCTTCTAACACTGTATATGCCATTAAATGCCAACAGTGCCCTTCCTTTTTCTACATAGGGCAAACAGGTCAAACCCTATGCCAAAGGATAAATGGATACAAATCTGACATCAGCTTCCCAGGACACTCAGTGGGGGACCTCAAAGAAGCTGTTTTATTACAAAAGAATTTCAGAAACAGAGTGGAACGGGAGCTTGCTGAGTTACAAGTTATTACAACACTCAGGACAATGGAACCCTCAGAGTTTAACAGTGATATCGATTTCTTATCTCACCATGCATTCTAATGTCATTCATTTCTTGCATCTTTTTGTAAACTCTTTTATTATGCTGTATGCTAATCTGCTGCTATTCACAGTTTTACCAAGTGCCTTAATCCAATTTTAGCTATATTTGCTGTTATTCACAGGTCTGCTTTAATCCAATCTTTGCTCTAATTGGCCCTTCCTGGCAACATCCTCCTCACCCACTATCTATATGTAATGGTTGGTGAATTCTGTTTCAATGTATCTGAAGAAGTGTGCATAGACATGAAAGCTTATACCCAGAATAAAACTTTGCTGGTTTTAAAGATGCCACTGGACTCAAACTTTGTTCTGCCGCTTAAGGCCAACACAGCTACCCACCTGAATCTATCTGTTGTGGATCTTGAATGACAGCCTCCAGACTGGAATGATGTTTCCTGGAGGTAGCATTAATTGTTTAGGAACTGGCATGACAGCTCACAGAATGGCATGGTGGACAGGCAGTCCTTGGAATTAAGAGGCCCAGGGCAGTTTATCTGATTCCAGGCACCATCATTCCATTCTGGGAGCTGTCATCTGGTTTCGGGGCACACATTCCACTTTTCTGCCTGTCATTCCAGTCACATAACACTTATTCTACTCGGGGATGACATTCCAGGTCCAGATCAGTTTATGTAGTTCCAGAGCCCATCATAACGCTTGAGTGCCTGTTCTCCCATGGATAGTCATTCCACTTTAGGGGTTGTCATTACATGCCCAGAACACTTATGCTAGTCCTTGGGACTGTCATTCCAGACTCAGAGCAGTCTTTCTGTGCCCAGGGCCTGTCACTCCACTCTGGAGGTTGTCATTCTAGGCCTATGGCAGGTACCCCACTGTTCTCAATAGGCATTCTTGTCATTTGTTCTTTTGTTGTTCAGCCGCACAGTCAAGTCCGACTCTTCATGACCCCATGGACCAGGTCACGCCAGGCCCTCCTGTCTTCCGCCGTCCTCTGAAGTTTGCTCAATTTCATGTTCGTTGCATCTATGACACTGTCTAACCATCTCATCCTTTGCCTTCCTCGTCTTCTTTGACCTTCACTCTTTCCCGGGTCTTCTCCAGTGAGTGCTCCCTTCTCATTTGGTGGCCAAAGTATTTGAGCTTCAGTTTCATTATCTGGCCTTCCAGGGAACAGTCAGGGTTGATTTCTTTTAGGATTGACTGATTTGATCTTCTTGCAGTCCAAGGGACTCTCAAGAGTCTTCTCCAGCACCATAGTTCAAAAGAATGTATTCTTCGGCGCTTGGCCTTCCTTATAGTCCAACTCTTGCAGCCATACATGACTACTGGCTTTATACTGCAGGTCAAGTAAGCACTTCACAAGTTCATCTTGTTATCTCAGAGGGAAAGATGAACTTGTGAGGTGCTTACCTGACCTGCAGTATAAAGCTAGTGAAAGCTGATTGATGAAGAACCAAATGACAAGTACTAGAACAAATGATTTGATTTGATAGACAGAGTACCTGAAGAACTATGGATGGAAGTTCAAGACATTGTACAGGAAGCAGCAATCACCACCATCCCCCCCAAAAAAAGAAAGGCAAGAAAGCAAAGTGGCTGTCTGATGAGGCTTTACAAATAGCAGAGGAAAGAAGGAAAGCGAAAGGCAAAGGCGAAAAGGAAAGATTTACCCAACTGAACGCAGATTTCCAGAGAACAGCAAGGAGAGATAAGGAGGCCTTCCTGAATGAACAGTGCAAAGTAATAGAGGAAAACAATAGAATGGGAAGGACTAGAGATCTCTTCAGGAAAATTGGAGAAATCAAGGGAGCGTTCCATGCAAAGCTGGCCATGATAAAGGACAAAAATGGCAGGGACCTAACAGAAGCAGAAGAGATTAGGAAAAGATGGCAAGAATACACAGAAGAACTATACAAGAAAGACCTCGATGTCCTTGACAACCACGACGGTATAATCACTGACCTCGAGCCAGACATCCTGGAATGTGAAGTTAAATGGGCCTTAGAAAGCATTACTAACAACAAAGCTAGTGGAGGTGATGGTATTCCAGCTGAGCTATTCAATGTCTTAAAAGATGATGCTGTTAAACTGCTGCACTCAATTTGCCAGCAAAGTTGGGAAACGCAACAGTGGCCACAGGATTGGAAAAGGTCAGTATACATTCCAAACCCAAAGAAGGGCAATGCCAAGGAATGTTCAAACTATCGCACAATTGCACTCATATCACACGCTAGCAAGGTCATGCTCAAGATCCTACAAGCTAGGCTTCAACAGTACGTGGATAGAGAACTACCAGAAGTACAAGCTGGGTTTCGAAGAGGTAGAGGAACGAGAGATCATATTGCCAACATTCGCTGGATTATGGAGAAAGCAAGAGAGTACCAGAAAAACATCTACTTCTGCTTCATTGACTATGCTAAAGCTTTTGACTGTGTGGATCACAACAAACTATGGCAGGTCCTTAAAGAGATGGGAGTACCAGACCACCTCACATGTCTCTTGAGAAACCTGTATAAGGGCCAAGAAGCGACAGTTAGAACCGGATATGGAACAACTGATTGGTTCAGCATAGGAAAAGGAGTACGACAAGGATGTATATTGTCGCCTTGCTTATTTAATATATATGCAGAGTACATCATGCGAAATGCTGGCCTGGATGAATCACAAGCGGGAATTAAGATTGCTGGGGAAAAGATCAACAACCTCAGATATGCAGATGATACCACTCTAATGGCTGAAAGTGAAAAGGATCTAAAGAGCCTCTTGCTCAGAGTAAAAGAGGAGAGCGCAAAAGTGGGCTTGAAGCTCAACATCAAAAAAACTAAGATCATGGCATCCGGCCCCATCACTCCTTGGCAAATAGAAGGGGAAGTCGTGGAAGTAGTGACAGACTTCACGTTCCTGGGATCCCAGATCACCGCAGACTGTGACTGCAGCCATGAAATTAAAAGACGCCTGCTCCTTGGGAGGAAAGCGATGGCGAACCTAAACAGCATGATAAAAAGTAGAGACATCACCCTGCCAACAAAAGTCCGCATGGTCAAAGCAATGGTATTCCCAGTAGTCATGTATGGCTGCGAGAGTTGGACTATAAGGAAGGCCGAGCGCCGAAGAATAGATTCTTTTGAACTATGGTGCTGGAGGAGACTCTTGAGAGTCCCTTGGACTGCAAGAAGAACAAATCAGTCAATCCTCAAAGAAATCAACCCTGACTGTTCCCTGGAAGGCCAGATAATGAAACTGAAGCTCAAATACTTTGGCCACCAAATGAGAAGGGAGCACTCACTGGAGGAGACCCTGATGCTGGGAAAGATTGAAGGTCAAAGAAGACGGGGACGGCAAAGGATGAGATGGTTAGACAGTGTCATCGATGCAACAAACATGAAATTGAGCGAACTTCAGAGGACGGCGGAAGACAGGAGGGCCTGGCGTGACCTGGTCCATGGGGTCGCGAAGAGTCGGACTCGACTGTGCGACTGAACAACAATAAATAATATAGTCTCAGTTAAATGATTTGAACTATCTGTGCTTTTTATATGCTTTTAGAAGTAATGCAAAGCCTATTAAGATGCTTGTTTACTTAGAAGCAGGGCTGAGAGCTTAGGTAATTGACTCAGTCAGCTAGAACAGGGGTCCCTAACCTTTTTGGGCTTGTGGGCACCTTTAGAATTCTGACTAGGGATGGGCTCAAACCACATTTTTGCAGTTCGGTTCATGGTTTTGGCTGAATCATGAACCTATATGAACTGGGAGGCTGGTTCATGAACCAAACTGGTTTGTATAGGCTCGGTATTGTGACCCGTTTTCTGTTCCCCACTACTTTTGATGGGGAGCAGAAAGAAGGGGGTTAAATAGCTTTGAGCTATGAACAGCTGTGGAGAGCAGAAAGCATTGGTTTAAATGTCTGGGAGCTGAACCCAATAAAGCCCCTAAACAGTTGAGCTGTGTTGAACAAACTGCTGTTTAAAGGGGCTTAAAGCTCTAGGGACTGTTTAAAGCTCCAGGGACTGGGTGCCCAAGAAAGCCCCCTTAAATAGCTGAGCATGGGAGCAGTTTGCTCTATGTAACTCAGCTGTCTAAAGGGGGTATGTTGGTTCTGCTCCCAACCATTTAAACCACTGCTTTCTGCTCCCCACCAAAAGCTGGCTGCACAAGAAAGCTCCTTTAAACAGCTGAGCCATGGGAGCAGTTTGCTCTGTGTGGCTCAACTGTTTAAAGGGGCTTTCTTGGACAGTTCTGGCTGCCCAAGAAAGCCCTTTAAACTGCTCTGCATGAATCAGCTGTTTAAAAGGGACTTTCTTAGGCAGCTAGCCTCAGGCTTGGAGCCATTTAAATCCCTGCTTTCTGCTCCCTGTGGCTTTTTGCGGTGAGCCATTTAAACCAAGCAACTGAGGAGCGGGGAACTCCCTGCCACTAAGCTGTTTTTCATGAAGAGCAGAAAACAGGGGCTTAATCTCTGTTGCTCAGCTGTCTTTTTGTGAAGAGAGTTTAATTGGATGCAGTGTGGAGGGTGCAACCGCAAAAAGGCTTCTTTCAGAGGTGGAGCCACTACAAAATGGCTGCACAGGAGGCAGAACCACTCACACAGAAGAGGCCTAAGTGCAGGGAAAAAGAGAAATAATTATTTAAAATATACTGGGAAAGAGAGAGCAGCCGCTGCTGAAACAACATTATTTTAATATGTGCAACCGTACGTCACTCAAAAGACATTGCTATGATGGACAAGAATTACAAAGGGGCTTGCTGGAAATGTAAAAAAGAAGATGGCACCTTTTATCATATGTGGTGGACCTGCATCAAGACAAAAAGATATTGGAAAAATTCAAGATATTTTAAAAACTAAATTCCCGATGAAACCAGAGACTATGTTACTGGGAATCCTTCCAGGTAAAATAGACAGAACCTCACAAGACCTACTTTGATATATGTTGACAGCTGCCAGAATAATATTTGTAATGAAATGGAAGCCAGAAGACTGCCCTACGATAGAGATCTGGGAAGAAAAACTGGCTGAGTATAAAACATTGGCAAAGTTAACCAATTATATAAGCAAAAGACGATTGAATGAATTTCGGCAGAAATGTCAAGCTTATTACTCATGTTATGGGATTAATTAACTTATACTACCTAGAGTACTATTTCTTTTTCAAAACATTCCGGTACTTAACAATAACGCATTTATCAAAAATTCAGATAAGCTAACCTTAAATTTTATCTGGGGGGTGTAAGAAACCCAGAATAAAAGCATACTATTTGCAGGAGAAAGTCAAAAAGGGGGGGATTAGCAGTACCTATATGGCGTTTTTATTATCAGGCTGCGGCAATGACATGGCTCCGTGAATGGTTGCTGCTTAGAAATCAAAGGATATTATATCTAGAAGGCCATGATTTAATGGCTGGGTGGCATTATTTCTTAACCGAGGAAAAAATGAAATCGCATTCATACTTTCGACAACACCGAATAAGAGCCAGTCTGATAAAAATATGGAAAGAAATAAGAACGGCCTATTATGATAAAATACCAAGATGGGTTGCACCTCTGGAGACGATCTCCCTACCAACTCTGATGACAGACACCCGTGCTTTGAGTTACGATGTGTTCTTAAACAATGAGAACAAATTAAAATCACAAGAGATCCTACAAGCCAACCAGATTAAAATAACTTGGTGGGAAAGAACCCAATTAATATCTAAATATAATAAGGATATGCAACTGGGTATCAGCAAAAAACTTACAGATTTAGATAAAATATTACTGGGTCCAGAAACAAAAATGATAGGTAAAATATATTCCTTCCTATTAGAAAACAGATCTCAAGATAAAAATAAGAAAACACCTTTGACAAAATGGAGCGCAAACATCGGGAAAACTATTGACCCCCCAAAATGGGAAGGGATATGGACAAATGTGAGGCAACTAAAAGCAGTTTCACTAAAGGAAAACGTGTTTAAAATATGTTATCGGTGGTATTTAGCCCCAGCAAGGCTGGCCAGGTTTTATCCTAGATGTAACAATATGTGCTGGAAGTGTGAAACCCAAGTTGGTACGTTCTATCACGCCTGGTGGACGTGTGAAAAGGTAAAGAGTTATTGGAAAGAGGTACATCAGGTGATCACACAGGCAACAAAAATGCAAATACCACTAGACCCCGAAATATTTTTATTAAATATTCTACCTGAAAGCTGGAAAAAGAAAGATAAACATATTATGATAAATCTCTTAACGGCAGCCAGAATAGTTCTAGCTAGCTACTGGAAAAGAAGTGAAATCCCGGATAGGCTGGACTTTATTAACAAAGTAATTGAGGTAATAGAAATGGATAATCTTACACAGAAACTCCATGGGAGTACAAATGCAACGTTTTCAAACATGTGGTCTAATGTATATGACTGGATCGATAAGAATGTTTAACAATTATGTAAGGAAACAAATAGCAATGTACTGTGAGTATGTAGATATACCATACGGGCGTATACGTATATGTGAATATCTGACAGATTGATATAAGACAATTTGAACAGAATGATATAGGATCATTTTTAATTTAGGGGGGGTGATGGTGTTAGGGTGTTTATTGTGGTGGTGGTGCTCTTTTTATATGCTATATTTCAATAAAAATTTATATTAAAAAAACTGGCTGAGTATAAAACATTGGCAAAGTTAACCAATTATATAAGCAAAAGACGATTGAATGAATTTCGGCAGAAATGTCAAGCTTATTACTCATGTTATGGGATTAATTAACTTTTTTCTTTTTAGTTCTGGAATTATTTGAATATCACATTAAAGATTATGAAGATATTGATTAAAATTTCAATATTTTATTTTGTATTCCATTAATATGTAAATAGTCAGTAAGAATAAAATTCAGACAAAACAATTAAGACAATATTTAGGTTTTTAGTATAGAAATTTGTCCAACTGTTAAAGATATATTTTCTTTTATCATTAATATATTATTCCTATTTTTAGGAGAGTTTTTGTTTATTCCTTAAAGGGAGAATCTAACCCAAAATTCTGTAAAGTTTTTGCTTTATTAATTGTTTCTATATTTGAATTATGTAATACATTTGGTAATATATTTGATTTTACTTGTTGGATGTAACAATTCAATTCATAATATTTAACAAACTTGTGGAATCTATATTTCCCCCCTCCCCTTCTGTATCCCATTTTTTTCCCTTGAGAAAGTAATAAAAAATAATTTTTAAAAATATGTGCAACCAATTGGATCTCCAGTGGCCAATCAGAATCCTTGCTGGGTAAGAGCCCCCACCCACTTTCAAAAACTCTTGGTGGGCAGCAGGAAAGGTGTTGGCAACACCCTGGTGCCCATGAGCACCACGTTCTAAACTAGAACCGTATCAATTACACGTTCTCCATCCAATTAATAAGATAGCGGGTTTTTTAACAACTATTTTTAATGTACCTACAAATCCCTTGGTGTGAGTTGCCTTTTCAGAAGATGTATTTCTTCTTTTCTCACACACACAGAAGGAAATGCCTCTTCTGATGTGGTACCTGTTGTGACACATAAGCACATAATCTAAAACTGAAGACAATGCTTTTTCATCAGAATGGTTTATTTAAATGCATCTTTGTCATTTTAATTAATTATTTGATTAACTGATTAAAAATCATACGGTTATTTTTTTTAATCAAATGGCTGCCTTACTCAGAAGTAAATTCCATTGAGTTCAGAGGCACAATGAAGTAAGTAAACATAGAATGGCAACTTAAACTTGTTTCATTCCCAGTAAAAAGAGAGATGTGTACATCATGTACAATACTTTCACTTGCTGTGATTCAGGGCTCAGCATAGAAAACTGGAATAGTATATGTAAGATTGGACTAGACTCATTGTTATGTAAGTAATGTGTTAATATTTGTATTTTGCCCAATGCCGTTCCTGAGTGTGTGTTCTGTAATTTCTGTTAGGTGGTGTCAGATACAAGCCTGACCACTTGCTTGAGTGGCAGAATACATTGATAGTCCTTGGACTGCTATCTGGGGAATAAAGTGGCTAAAAGCAGACAGAGCGATACAGCTGGGCCAGTTGAAAAGTGTGCTTAATCAGTATACTCCAGAATACTCTGTTTCTGGCAGTGCTTAATCATTTCCTTCCCCACCCACGCATCTGATTGGTAAGACTGTATTTTATATTGCAGGTTTCCCTGTTCACATCTCCAGCTACTGGGTTATGCTGGATCCAGAACCACCTTAGGGGTATGCATAAGCACATGGAAGCCTGCTTCCATACACATATGGCTCCCAGTTCAATCAGCCAGACTGAATTTATATTCTCAATTTAGGTGGTTGGTTGCTTCACTGCTCGAGCCAGCAGATGCAAGGAGTGTTTATCCATGCTTTGATGAACCTGCCATGAAGGCTACTTTTAACATCAGTATTGTGCATCATCCAAGTTATGTAGCACTTTCTAATATGCCTGTTATAGGTAAGTAAGTAAACAAAGCTTCAAACAGCTACTGATGGTAATATTAGAGCTAGTTCTAGCAATAACAATAGTAATATACTTAGGAATTTTGTTGCTAGCGTAATTGGTATTGCAAGGGCGGGAAGAGTCCCAAGCACCTGATCACCGGGGGGTGGGGGTGGGGCTGAAGATCTATGGCTGGCATCTATGAATGGGAAAGCTTTGTTCAGCTTCATTGTTCGTCCTTTCATCTTCCTCTGATAACATTGCAAAGTGTTTTTCATTCCTCATCTTATTTTTCTTCACTATCCCTCTGAGTTGGAAACAGAACCTGTTTGACTTCCTTACTGGGTCCCCATACACCACCTACCTCCAAAGCACTGGGTCCCCATATACCACCTACCAGTTCTAGCTCCTAATTGGATTTTGGGCTTCACCTGGGATTTTAGGAATGCCTGGGTAATAGAAGCTCCTTCAGGAAGAATAGAAGCTTCTGCAGGAAGGGTTGTCCTTTTGTGAATATTTATTTATTCCCACATGGTTTCGTCTTCTCCTGAATGCACATTCAGGAGAAGACGAAACCATGTGGGAATAAATAAATACTGCTATAATTAAGAGTTGTGGAGAAGGGGAGGAGTTGTGGGATTTAGTTATCAAGCTGACAGTACTGCAGTAGGGTCTACTTTAAAAATAAAATGATTCATATTATTTACGTGGATAATTGATATTGAAATATGTCAGGCTAAAATAAACAATGCTTCTTAAATCATAGACAGTTTGCAGCACAGTATGAATTTTGGGTTTTTTTAAATAGAGAAGCCCAGACTAAGGCAACTCATTCAGATTCACTTGCTGAATAAACGTACATAAATGTGGTTAACTAATACTTCCATCTTGATAGAGCAAAATAATTTTTATATTTAATATTAGTACCTACTTGTATTTTATAGATGTTTCTGAATATAACAATGTGAATGAGAGCAAACTGAGTACATTAAGTAACTGGACGACATCGATTAATTGGACTGTTACAACATTTAAAACAACACCGCAAATGTCAACCTACATCACTGCCTTTGTGGTCTGTAACTTTGATTATGTCACCACAACTGTGAGGGGCAATGAGGTGAATAAGTTTGTTGAATTTGTAATTGACTTTACACATTTTCATTTGTGACTGTTTTATGTTCTCCAATACATTCTAATGTTAACTATAAAAAAGCAGGGGGTCCTCAAGTACTTGAAAGGGACTTTTTTTGTCTCCCTCTCTATTTCTTCTTTCGCTTTCTGGAAGCCCCCATATAATCTTCCCTTTTCCTTCTCGCTTTCTTACCCACCAGCCAACCCACCCTGCTCCCTTGTCTTCAGCTTTCCGTTCTTTCCTCCTCTGGCAACATTTCCTTGGGAAAAGTCTGGCCCGTGTGCCGGCTTGTGGGCTGGGCCAAGTTGCATGGTGGGGAACATGCATCCCCACACTATTCCTCTTTCACTTCTTCTGGCAGCTCCCATATACTCAGCTTTCATGGTTTCCTTCTCTCTTTCCCGCCCACCAACCAACCTACCTTTTATCTGCCCCCCAGTCTTTAGCTTAATTTATTTATTTATTTATTACATTTATACTCCTCATTTCTCCCTAATTTGGGAGCAGAGCAACTTACATCATTCTTCTCTCCTCTGCCATTTCATTCTCACAACAATCCTGTGTAACTGGCCCAAAGTCACCCAGCAAACTTCTATGGCACAAGTGAGGATTCGAACCTGGGTCTCCCAGATACTAGTCTGAAACTGTAACCACTATACCAAACTGGCTTCTGGGGGGGTGACTGTTGTTGAACAATAGCAAGCAGCTGGTCCTTGGTGAATCATGCCTGATGGTTGCAGTCAGGCCTGGTCCCAATGAATCCACCTTCAAAGGCCAAAAGAGACCTGGAAAGGGCCCTGCTCCCTTCTCTTAACTTTTGCTGACAGAAACCAAGGCTTGAAGGCTGGTAATACTGTTGTGGTTGCCTAGCTATGGCCACTGAGAATATTTGTTTCTTAAAGTTACAGACACTGCTTTTATTATTTGGCGTTGGGGGGTTAATTCCCCAATATAATTTTTTAAGATTTCAGACTTTTCTGCAAACCTTGGGCATTTGTCATGTTTGTAGAAAGATCTGCCTTGTCTGCTCATGGCTCCAGTCTCTGAATTTAAGTATCTGCATACCTGGCCATGTTGCAAGTTAGATGTATTGATTAAAAATTGTAATAACTTATTGTGAAATTGCAACCTCCCCCATACTAGGATTTGTATAAACATAGTATGACAGAACTTGCTGTGAATTTTCAATGGAGAATCATAAATGAGTTCATTGAGGGCTTTCTTTCCACATATCAGGAACTATAGCCTCTTTCCCAGATTGCACACATGATGGGTTATCCCATCTCAAAGTTAGTTTGACAGAAATCCCTTCTTCATTCCTTCTTGGAGCAAGCAAAGTGGCCTTGACATATAATACTACAGTACACTTCCATGGATAGAGCACACTGCAGGGGAGCCTTTCATTTTAAGGGTGTATACTGTACTGTTTCCATTCCACTTGGGACATGGATGATACACTGTAAATCAATTTTATCATGTCCTCTTAGAGCTAGCAGATTTTTAAAAGAAAGCATAATAAAATTCAGTAAGGGCAAAGGACCGTTGCCAATCTGCCTTTTAGTGTATCTTTTGAGAAACATGTTTGGTTCTTAGTACCTTCTTATATGATTCTCTGAATGTTTGTGCTGCAGAAGTGAGAAGTCCTTTCCATGAAGTGGCACTGATTTTGTTTTATATAGCTTGACCATTTGTGAGGGGTTGCATTACAAAATACAGTTATGGCTACTGGATGACTGAGTAACATAGAGATTAGAGCTGTGAAAGGATGACTGAGTAACATAGAGATTAGAGATAAACTACTAGTTGTATAAAGGCTTGAGGGAGGGAAGGTGGCATGGTGTAGCTTGATCTTGTTAGATCTTGGAAGCTAAGCAGGGTCGGTACTTGGAAGAGAGACTGTCAAGGAAGACTACAGAGGAAGGCAATGGCAACCCAGCTCTACTTACCTTGGCCCCTTGCTGGGGTCACCATAAGTTGGCTGCAACTTGATGGCATTTGGAATAGTTGTTATGGGGAGAAGGGATGGTGAGGAAAATCCCACCAGCTGTGATGGTGCCATTTATTGGCTCAAGGCTGGTGTGGTAATCCAGGCTTGTCTTGTCTAGGTGCAGGAACAAGTAAAGATAACCTCATTTATTCAATGATTTCTTTTAAGATGACACCAATTTTCAGATATAGCTTCTTTAACTTCTTCAAATATTTTACATCTGTGTTCACTGTGGAAAGTGTGAAGCTTGTACCCATGCTACCACTACTATTTTTAGAAAGGGAGTCTGAAGAACTGAGTAAAATTGAGATGATGAGAGATGAAGTTCTAAACCTGTTGGGGAAATTAAAAACCAGTAAGTCTCCAGGACCTGATGGCATACACCCAAGAGTTCTCTTGAGACCTCAGATGTGAGATTGACGATCTGCTATCCCACATATGTAACCTATCACTAAATTCAATCACTGTGCCAGAAGACTGGAGAGTAGCAAATGTTATACAGATTTTCAAAAGGGGTCCAGAGGGGAACCATGAAATTACAGGTTGGTTAGTGTAATATCTGTCCCATGTAAATTAGTAGAAACTGTAATCAAAGATAGAATTATTAGTCGTGTAGAGGAACAAAGTCTGCTGAGGGGAAAACAGCACAGCTTCTACAAAGGAAAGTCCCTAAATAATAGAAGATTAGATGTCAGATGGCACAGCACAGACACCCTTCTCTTTTCTTTTCAACTTGCCTATTTTGTTTGCTCAAGGTACAGATTTGCAAAGAATAAGGCAATTAGAACAAGGGTCTAAAATACAGCAAGTCACTGCTAAGTCCTTCCAGGTTGGTGACCTTCTGGTGGGAAACGTTTTCAAAGCAGAACGTTATTTCCAGAATATGCAGATCTTCGACGTGGTCTCTGTGCTTAACACCCATGGGATTCAGTGCACACGTGCTGGATCGATCGGTGCTGTAGCAAGCACTTTTAATGGATTTTTGCGCCCAGTCCCTCGGGCATGCGCAGGAACCCCACCGTGCATGCCCAGAGGGGTGGGCGCAGACATCCTGCAAGTTCCTTTCTTACCGCCGCGTTGAGTAGACCTCTTTTTCGTCGGTCAGATCAGTTCGCTTGTGGCTCTTCACCTTAGCTCTTCGGAATTATTTCCTTACTCTATTTTTCTTTTTTAGTTTTGTTCTTCAAAAAAGCTTTAAAATTTTTAAATTTTTTCATGAGGGGGAGTCTACCGATTACCTCAGACCTTCGGGCTACCCCCCCCAACGCTCCCTCTTCTTCGCTTCTTTTATGGAGAAGAAGTGGGGCTTTTTCAACAGGTGCAGGGGTTGCGGCAGCAAACTTGCTCCTCCCGACCGTCATACCCTCTGCATTTTTTGCCTCAGAAAGTCTCACCAGCCAGAGTCCTGTCGTCACTGTGCTCGTTTCTCCAATCAAATGTGAAAAAACCGTGCTGCGCGCCATAAAGTGGTGCTGTTTGAATCGGCCCTTACTCCTGCCTCAGCGATGGAGGAGAGACCTCCTACATTGACAGCTCCGGCATCGAGGCGTGCCTCCGATGTCGACAGCCTGACACCGAAGGCACAATCGTCTGCTTCCACGCCAGTCAAAAAGAAGGCTAAGGCAAGTATTTATTT